CCAGGCATGGTGTAGGGGCCTTTCTCCTGAGTTGTGCAACTGATGAGGGGCAGGACTAGCTAGCCCCCCTTGCCCCATTATGATCTCAGAGCCAACTCTCCAAACTGCCTCAGGCAGGTAGAGGCCACAGGAGGAACTGGAGTGGTGAGGGACATAAGTGATAAAGATGCAGTCCTTATATATGAATTTCTCAGAAAAAAAATGTAATGCATGAAAAAGTTTGCCAGGACATAACAAATGAGCATTGCTTGAAGCTCAGCACATTTGATTTGTCATAATGACCTCTGATGAACAACTAACACTTTTGGAAAGTTATTGCTGCCCTGCTCTAAGTAGTTCTACTTAAGTCAATACAAGATCATTTTTCATATATAAACCTGTCCTACCTACATTGTTCTTGAAGCTCATTCTTGAGTTTACTTTGTTTTGCTTGATTATTTTCATTAAAATATTTTATATAATATATTTTGATCATAATTTCCTCTTCCCCCAACTCCTTCCAAGTTCTTCCTACCTCCTTACTCACCCAACTTTATATGTATTCTGTCCCTCTCTTTCTCTCTCTCAAAAATCAAAAAAAGAAACCAAATGAAACAAAAGTAAAACACCCCACAAAACTAAAAATCAAAATTAACAGGCAAAAGACCAATAAAGTGGAAAAATGACAAAACAAATCTAAATGAAGTGAAAAGTCCACAAAAAGTACTATTGTTTGTTTTGTGTTGACCAACCACTCCTGGACATTGGGACTGCCCTAGAATATGGTTGATACACCCAGTGACACGCACTGAAGAAAACTGAGAACAGTCATTGTTTTCTAGCCTCATCATGGTTAGCACCCCAGAATTCTCAAATTGCCTCATTAACGCAAATTCAACTCTCCTTGCATAAAGAAAACTCCCCCTTCAGCAAACTTAACTCATAGGTATCTGAGAATATTGCTTTTACCCACTCCCTGCTCCATACTGTCAAGATTCTTGGGATATTCAATTCCTAAATTTTATGAGGGAAATTATTTATTGAAAGAAGACAATATCACTGGTTAGTTAGAATACTCCCAGCACTTAGTGTAAGACTTTAATCCTAAAATTATAGATGCTGCTTTTAGTCAAAAATGTTAATGAATCTATCAGCAATTGGCAAAGATTGACTGTATCTCTAAGACTATTAGCCACGTTATTTACTCTTCATGAGCTGATTATGCCATGAACAAAACAGTATTTTGGTACATAAATTTCATTTTTGGAATTATTAAAAATATATTTATGACTAGATGTTGGTAACAATTACTTTCCTGAAGAAAATGAACACTCTTTATTGACCGTGACATTATTTTAGCATTGAACTCACATCTAATGTCCACTTCCCATATGTTTTCACAAAATATAATAAAGTAGTCAAAACAGAGGGCATAAACCACACAATATTCACTTCAGACTTCTGGCTAAGGGAGCAGCTCAAAAACAAGCACTTTTTTCTCTCCCCAGAAAGCTTTACACTGAGAACAGTAAATGAATTCATCCACAAGGATAAAGACTGTAGGAAGACTCAAAAGCTAGAGAGTGTGGGCAGCCAGAAAGAAGCTGGTCAGAGGGAATGCCCACCAGCAAGCTCAGTTTACATGGTAAAACCCCTGGGTACTGGAGGGTTATATATACAGGGTGCTGGGGAAAGGGAGGTGAATGATAAAAGAAGAAATACTGGTGTTCAGGTGACTGAAAATGCAGGTTTTCTGATCCCTTAACTCTACACAGGTGGGCAACTTTGCTACCTGGGAGATAGACCAGAGTTTTGTCCTTCAGAGAGGCTTCAGTCAGGGCCTCTGAACCAGGAGACTCCTCCACTCAACCCTGGTGTCAGCAATCTAGCATATAATCTCACGACTACAGACCAGACAAACCTTCCCAAGCAATGTGAACAGATCCAGAGGAGAGTGCCAATGTCACTAAGAGCCAATGTTCTAGTTTAATCTCCAGTGCTGTGATAAAAAACACCCAGTAACAAGCAACGGGAGAAAGGGTTCACATTTGCTGAAAGTTCCAGATTAGTGTCCCCCACTGTGGGAAAGAGGGTGACAGGAACTCAGAGCTGCTTGTTTTGCCACACTCGCAGTTAAGAGCAGAGAGAAATCAATGCCTGTGGGGATGGGATGCTGCTTGTTTCTCTTCTCCACTCTTACACAATTGTGTCTAGGGGGTATTGTCACCCACAATGGCTGAGGTTTCCAGCATCAGTCAACTTAATTAAGAGAATAGCTCACAGACATGTGCATAGGCCAGCCAAATACAGACAGTCCCTCAGACCCAGACAGAGCATCATACAGCCAAAACCATACACAGTGAGGACATTTGGCAGCCCATTAGCAGTTGACTAGGTTGTAGGAGGCTCCAATGTTCCAACACAATCAAGCAACCCAAGATCATCAGACATCTGACAAAATCTCAAACATGGAAGCCAAGACGGGAAAGGAGAGGGAAAGGACTAAAAGGAAAATTTGTTTTTTATTTCTATTTTTTTTTGAGATTTTTCAATTTTTATTTCATGTGTGGGGGTGTTTTGCCTGCATATATGTCTGTGCGCTGTGTAACAGAAGTGCCTGGGGAGGCCAGGAAAGGGCCTCACATCCTTTGGAACTGGAATTATCAAAGGTTGTATGCTGCCATGTGCATGCTAAAAACTGAACCCCAGTCCTCTAGAAAAGCAATCAGTGCTCTTATCCAGCAAGCCATATCTCTATCATCAGAAAAACTTTTTAAAATTGATAATAGATTCTTCTCACATGCAATACATCCCGACCAGTTTCCCTTCACTCCACTCCTCCCAGCTACCTCCTATCTCCCCTCTCCCCCAGATCCACACCCCCTTTGTTTCCTTCAGAAAAAAAGAACTCTAGTATCATACTTAGCAAAATAGCTACAATCCATAACTACAAGTAGCATCTTCAGAAAGATAAGATATTACAGCCCTAAAATGAGAACATAAAAAATTAAAGGACAATTTAATGAACAAACTACTTCTAAGTTATGCCAGTAACATTGATTTATAGTAGGATTGGAAGGTGAAGTTGAGAACATAGGCTTTGAGCACAATATTAAAAATGACTGGGATAGTGGGCAGCCCTGGTTCTTTTCACCATTAAGGGTGATATTGGCTATAGGTTTGTCACATGTATCTTTTATTACACTGAGGAAATGTCCCCTCCTGTCCTGCTCTCTCTAGGATTTTTATTATAAAGACATATTGGATTTTGTCAGAAGCTTTTTCTACAGTTATTGAAATGATCATATGATTTTTGTTTTTCATCCCACTTTGTGGTTTATTACATTTAATGATTTTAGTATGTTGAACCATCCCTGCATCTCTAGGATAAAACCAGCTTGGTCATGATGGATAATATTTATTATGTATGCTTGTATTCAATTTGTAGCTTTCTATTGAACATTGTTGAATACATGTTCATCAGAAATGTTGACCTATAATTTGGACAGGGTTGGTTGTTGTGGTGGTTTTTTGTTGTTGTTGTTGGTGGTGGTGGTGGTGGTGGTAGTGATAGTGGGTTTGTGGTGGTGTTGTTGTTCTTTGGTTTGGGTTTTGGTTAGTTGGTGGTGGAGAAGTAATGTATTTACCTGTTTTTTTTATATTAGTACAAAACTGGCTTCATAGGAATTTGGGGACTACTCCTTCTGTTTAATTTCTTCTCCTATCTTCCTTTCTTTCTTTCTTTTTTGAATGGTCAAGAAGTATTGTTTGTAGGTCTTCCTGAATGCTACTTCCAATGCATCCTGAAAGCCCAAACATGATTCATATTTACATTTCTGAAGGATTTGAAACTGTTGGCAAGTACTATAATACAATGAATATGATTTCCATAATGTTTGAAAATAAAGGATGATTATATGTAAGGCTGTTAAATATGAACTTATGAAAATGGAGATGCATTTTAAGAGTAATGGAATATTTATGAGTTAACTTATCATTCATTAGTTTATATATAGTCTTGTTTTGAAAAGAATTTTAGGAAGTCTATAAAATTACAGGCAACATAACATTAAGTTACACTCATTAAATTAAAAATCTTGGCAAAATAAATAGAAAATCAAAGATAATACAAAAGGGAGCCAAAAAATTTGCTTAAAATGTCTATAATTATAACCCAATACTGTTGTCAAATTTGTCTCCAAGCTATGTGTCCATTAATATTAGACTCAGCTCCAAGTTGGAAAGACTTAACATGAGTTTACTTTCCTCACACAGAAGAGCTCTGAGACATTCAGTTTACAACTGGTGTTGAAGTTCAATTCCACCCAGTCATTCAGGGGACACAGGCTCCTCCAACTCACCTCTGTCCCTTTCAACAGTCCAAGACAGCAACATTCCTATTCTGGGCAGCAGAATGGAGGTATGGAATGAGGAAAGAAAGAGCAAGAGTTACCTTCCAAGTATTCCCTAATGAAGATTATTAGGAATTGCCACTGTGCAATTCTAGTTCTATTGCATCCATCAGGGACTAGTGACAAAGACACTAGGCACAAGGGAAACAGGGAAATAGAGTTATCATTATATGTGGACACGAGTGCTTCTACAAGCTCTGCAACACAGACTTGAATACAGAAGAGAGCAGATCCAAGGCAAAAGCATCTTCCACAGCATCACAGCAGCCAAGAAAGGGAATGTGCTCCACTTTCAAATAGCAGAATGGTAAATATGAATGGTTACTGAAGAAATTGCAGCAACGCTTGGTGGGAAGATTTGAAAGGTATGGCTTTGCCAGGATCTGTACAAAAGCAAAACTTTGATATCATCAATATCACCATTCCCATAAGGATGTGCCTTTTGTTAACACAACAATGCATTCACAATGTAAAGAAATTGTGTCAGTGAAGCTTATATTTGCTGAGCTCATTTTTATTGCATTTCTAAAATCACCACAGAAACATGTTCCTTTTAATGTCATAATTGAGTATTTTAATATTGAATATATGCTTATATATTTGTTGCAGAATTGAAGAAAAATCTATTTACCATCGTTTGAGGAAAAGAAACCATTGCAATCACAGGGACTACCAGAGTATCTCCAGAAATGGTGTGTAGCCTGTCACTTATGTCTTCACCAAAGCACTGTAAGAATTGACTTTATTTGGAAATACCACCAAAATTAGCATTAGATAACCAGAACAATGTGAAGTCTCCTTTCCAGCAACACTGCCCTTTCTGAGCATAGTGCTCTGGCCTTCCAGCCATTTACACACAGAAAATGGAAACAGAATGGAGACAAAGGAATATGGAGGCCAGCTCAGTCACCCAAAAGTGAAAACAGTTCTAGTAATTTTAAGCCAAATTCTGGGATACAAATCTCAAGAAGTATGACCTAAATGATCCTCACTTAAACAAGGGCAAACCAAGGTCACTGCAAAAGCTCTATTCTTCCCATTGGTGCATTCTTTCATATTTCTGCAGAGGTCAGAGTTTTGTTTTACTCATGTGAGTCTCTACCCTCCACATTGTACTAGGAGGTGGTATACTGCTTCAAAATGTCCATAAGACCATTTCTTAAGAAGCCACAGCCTGGATAATGCAATGAGTTACCATCTCTCACTGACTAAAGATATGGAGAAATTATCCAAGGAGTGTGGATTTTAACTAACTGTGTTACCTAAAAACAATGTATCTCTTAAATATTCTACATGAAATGAATGTCCCACTTTTCTAAGAATGACAAAAATGTTTTAGTCAGTAAATAGTAGATGGCATTTACTGAGCTCCCACAAAATGCTGAAAAACATATTTCAGTATATGTATATTTATATATATTTCAGTTAATCCTTTCCACAATAAACACTGTCAGCAGGTATTATTATATTTCCTCAGAACTAAGATAGAATTGATTGCAATCACTCTGGAATTGTTAAAGTAGAAATGGGAAAGAAAACTTACAATTTACACACTGGCTATAGTACTCAACTCAATTACCCAACATGTTAAAACATTTTTCTCAGAATGAGGAAAGTATGAGGCTATCCAACCTTGCTGCAGCTCAGAAAAGGGAGACATGGACATGTCAAGAGCTCTATTCCAGGTCACAGAGATCGCAAGTTACATGACTGAAACTTCTGCCCACCTTACCTAACACCACTGAGACACCAGTGAAGGTCATGCCTCCACTGGCCTGTCATCTGCAATGATCTACACAGAAAGGTTAGCCTCGCTCTACATGTGAACACAACTAGTAGGGAGTGGACAGTGCACATAAAAGCTTCTTGTGAATCCCTGTAGATACAAGCCCTTCCCTATACTTCTCTACTTTGGTGAGAGACTCAATGAGCCCTCAGTGCTACAGTGACAGAATGGGAAAAAGCATAGGCTCATTTCTATGGAATATTATGCAACTTAAGGAAATTATGTCTAATAATCTATTTTTAAGCCAAAAAGATAAACTATAGATAAAAAGAAAATTAGACCATGAAATTAGGTATTATAGCTCAACTTTTACCACACTTTTAAAAATAAATGGGGGAAGGCTATATCTAAGAGGAAATATTAGTAGAACATGCCCTAAGATGGTTGTTTGAGAAATTTTTAGTGATTCTTTGTTTTCTTCCTTCCAACTCTACTTTTCTGAATTGTTTTACTTTTTTATACAAAACAAAGCAAAAACCTAGAGAGAAATTGAGTCTAGAAAGAGTAATGGGGTGAAGGTATACAGTTAAGGCAGGGTGATCATTAATCCTGAAATCCACAAGAGAGAAAACTGTTCTACAATTCTGAGCCAATTTTGAAGCAAGTTTTAATTAAATACTGGTCAGGAAGATGGAGTCTGTCCAGGTCCACCCCTGGGTTCCCAGGGAATGGCAATGAGTCACGTTTTGCAGAAGTTCAAAAAGCCAAAACTCATAATTCACTACTGCATTTCTCATTAGGTTCAATCAGGGGCAAGCATACACCCTGATGTATTTCCTGCCTATGTACCTCCTGGCTATATGTGATCAAGCACACCCAGTATAGTTAGTTCTAACAAACTTGTTTAGGAGCAAAACCATGTGCCTTGTTATTTCGCAAGTACGACAGCTCCTAGCATTCCACGAAGTTATCTTTTCATTGGGCAAGTGGGGCTTACCTGTAAACACTGGATAAGCAGTCTGACTCTTCAGGCATGCACACTATAATTGTCCTCTGAAGACCCAGATATACTAACATTGCTTTCCCACCCAAAATGATGGCCTTTTGTAAAAACCATGAAGATCAGAGTGAGATATTCCAAAAAGTACCCCTGGCAACAAAGAGTAGCCAGTTGTACTTGTGCATACTGCTGTTTTAATAACATATATTCCTTTAAAAATCCAGGTTGTCCAGAGCAAAAGGCAATGGGGAGGTAGGAAACAGGACTCATCACAAAGAAATACATGGTGAATTCAGAGGAAAATCTCAGCTTCTGTCAGTCCAGCAAATAGGAGCTGGTGGGGGTATTCTTTTTCTTCAATTTATGTTCCTCAGAATTATACAAATGTTCACCTTGTCTAGAATTATTGCTTCTTTGAATATGTTTCTCATCAGATCTTCTAAGAACATAATTCTAAAAGGATATTTTTAGTTTCCCATAGTTACCATTATCTAATGTCCTGGTTTTATTCTCCAGCTCCTCTTCCTATTTTCTGTTGCTTTTCCTTGCTGTGCATTTTCTTTTGATATTATGCAGCATGTAACCTGACTGCCCACACCAAGTTATTTCAATTACTCCCTAAGGTTTTTATTAGATATAGGAAAAGTCAGCTTTCCACATTCTGCATATTTATGGCTGCATTTACTTTTCAGAACCAGCAAGAAAGATAAAAGGAGGAGGAATAGTTGAATGGAATATTAAAGAGTTTCTTTAAATTGTATAATAAGAATTAAAGAAACAGCTCCTATTTTCATCTTGACTGCCATACAAAAGATCTTTACAGTGTCTGTCAATATGTATAGAGCATTTTAGAATGTGAAGATTTGGAGTCACTGTGATTCTGGGGATAGTGCTCTGATAAGAGACTTAGGAAGCAACAGTCCCACCCCATCTTCTCCATCATCAGAAAAGGAGAGGGTCTGCAGTGGCCCTTTCAACTCAAACGTACTGGAACAGACAGGGCAAGAGGTGGCCAATGCACTGCAAAGAACAGGATCAGAGTGCTGTGTGTTGACTGGTCCCTCACCTTACCTCTCAGAGATGGGAAGTGAGATTCAAGGAACAAAGAACAGAGGCCTCTCCTACAAAACCTTTCCTTGAAAAATAAAATATGACTGACTTTGGGATTGGACCTGGGAAGTGATATCAGAATCTCATCTGGGGAGGCCTAGATGACAAGCCAGCTTGCGTGGGTCATCTTCACTCCATTCTCTCTTGGACAGACGTAACATCCAAAGTTACTGTGGTAGGAGAGAAGACTTGGCTTGGCTTCTGTAAACCTAGCTTCCCACCATGTTATTATTGTGTAAGTAACATAAAACCTGGGGACTGTTTGACCCAGATAGGCAACCACACATAAGAGAAATAACATAAACATACTTGAGTAGAGAGGTGGGCAGCTAGAGGATCAAGAAACACAACTTCCTAGCCGGGCGGTGGTGGCGCACACCTTTAATCCCAGCACTGGGGAGGCAGAGGCAGGCAGATCTCTGTGAGGGCCAAAAGGAGGTGGAGCTGAAAAATGGCCTTGGCTGCATGAGCCCTTGACCATGCTGAGGGCTGAAGCTTAATACACTGGAGGAGAATTGAGCTTGAGATGTCATTCTGTCTCCAGCAAAGAGCTCATCCCTCAAAGACTAGACTATCAGGGAGGTAATACCCAGCTGTGGAGGCTGTCATAGAAACTGTGGTACCGTAAACCATCTGCCATACCCATGCTACAGTACTCCACTCCTCTGTTCTGGTTATTTGTCAGTGCTAAAGTTGAGGTTTCATGGACTTAGGGTTGGGTCATTTACTTTAAGTCTAGCTCCCAGCTGGACAGGAATCAGAAGGCATGTGAGGCCAGTAACAATATGTTTAACACTGACCTTAGTATTGCTAAGCAGGGACTTGCCCACCCAACACTTTTTCTTTAACCTAAAAGGTCTCAAGTGAATTTTAACCTTTGAAGAGGATTAAAGCATGGATAGTGATCCTTTACAACTAGAATGCAATCATTTTTCCCTTTAATACAGTGGTTCTCAACCTTCCAAATGCTGCAACCTTTTAATACATTTCCTCATGTTGTGGTGACCTCCAACCATAAAATTATTTTTATTGCTACTTCATAACTGTAATTTTGCTACTGTTATGAATCATACTGTAAATAGCTGTGTTTTCGAAGGGTCCAAGACCCCCCCAAAGTGGCTGAGACTCACATGTTGAGACCACTGATTTAATATCAAGGACAAGAACCATTCTGAGATAGCGCCCCATAAGATGACCGTTATAAAAAAACAAACACAAAACAAAACCCTAATGACAAGTATTGGCTAGGACATGGAGAAGTAAGAATTATGTATTATGGGAGGGAATATAAAGTCTTCTCTCTATTATAGAAGGCAGCATGATTCCTTTAATTATGAAAACTTGAATTACTGTATGACTGATCAGCCCATTTGTGAATATTTGTTTAAGGTAATTAAGAGCAGGGTCTCAAAGAGGTGCTGGCATTGCCTTCTTCATTATTTCATCATTCATAGCACCCAAGATGTGGAACAAGGCTAAATGTTCCCCAGCATGTAAATGGTTGGAGAAAATATGATGTGTAAATGCAATATAATACTATTCAGACTTTGAGGAAGAAGAAAACACTGTCTTACCCAACAACACAAATGAACCTCAAAGCAGTGGCTTTTATGAAGCATGTACAGTATTCAAACTCCAAGAAGAAAAGAGCAATTTGGGACCAATGGGGGTGATAAAAGCATATTTTAAATAGAAGTCCATAAGTTATCTTCTGAAGTAAATAAGACTCCTTTGCTTTAAGAAAACAGTCCTTAGTCCTGGGTCTCAATTGCCTAACAGTACAGCTCACAGCCACAGAGAAAAACACTCCGTGGGTTTATGGAGTGCTCATGGACCCTCCTAACAGATGCCAAGCT